TGGACCTGTATTTATAGTTTTCGCTATGGGCTTGGGATTAGTGAAAAGTTAATCACGGCCCAAAACGGCCCGATAGCTTCTAATTTCTACTTACCTTTAAACCAGGCTACTTTTCCTTAAGTCATGTTGATTAGTGATTTGGCGGGCGTGGACGTTCGCCCATGTGAAGTGGGCGTCTGCCTCGCGCGCACGGAGATCCGCCCATGTGAGATCCGCCCATGTGGGATCTTTGGTCCGGCGTCCGGTTCCGCTGGCCGCGTCCGCGAAGATCCGCCCATGTGGGATCCGCCCATGTGGGCTCTTCCGTACGGCGTCCGGCTTTGCTCGTCGTGTCCGCCCATGTGATATGGGCGTCCGCCTCGTCCGCATGGAGACCCGCCCAATTAGCTTGGGCGTCCGCTCACGGATCCTTCCGTACGGCGTCCGGCCCTTGCAGATACAAGAAGCCTTCATAAAAATTTTGATTTTTTGTCTTAAACTAGTTGTAACCACAAAGGTATCGATAATTCAAGTTTTGAGTTGCTACATGTTGAAAAAAAATTTACTTTGAAGGATGGAATGACAACATTTTCAAAAGAGAAGTTAAAATTTGAAAACTTAATGATTATTGGAGAAAAGTTGAACTCCACTTAAAAGTCTTGGTTCCATTGTAATTGTGAGAGTGGAAATTGCCAGCAATAGTACCTTCCTTCTTGTTAGGAATTTGCTCCCTCTTTTTTCTCTTCTTCAAGCTCTTTCTTTTCTTCCTTTTCTCTTCTCTCTCTCTTCTCTTCTTTCTTTTTCTTCTCTTCTATCTTCCTCTTCCCTTGTTTCCTTTTCTCTAAGAGCTTTTCTGATGGCGTACCCCCAAGTTATGGCCAAGCACAATAAAAAAGAGTTGGAGTTATCTGTGGAAAATAGGCCTAAACTCTCTCTCTTGGGAAATTTTCGACCATCATGAAGCTTCTAATAGAGTAAGAATAATTTTGGGCCTTGTATTGTGGGCCAAGTGGTTTAGGATTTATTTATGCTTTGTATTATGAGAGTTACTCCCTCCACCACCATAGAGTACTCCTTGCACCTCCTTATTCTTTTTTTACCCTTTAATAAACGGATGTCAACATTTGTTATTGCACAAACGAATGTCAACATTCATTGGACAAACCGATGTCAACGAATGTCAACATTCTCTTCAGTTGAAAGGCCTCGTTGGGACTAAAAGCAATTTCTGCATTCATGTTTTGGTGCATCACCACATTGTAAGTGGAATCCCATCTTATTCTATATTTATCTTCATATTTTTCTGTGCTTATTTTGCAACATAATCTTGTTAGTTTATTTCTTATTAGGTGAATATTTATGGTTCTGTAAATAAACATACTTTCCCCACTGGATTTGGACCTGGTGTAACTGCAGTATTTCATCAAATTCTCTATGCAAGGTATGCATTTGATTATAAGACAAGAAACAATTGGAAACCAGTTTTTGTTTCACTGCACTGTTAAAGAAAAAATAGTAATATTGACAGTGGTGAACTGCTCTGTAAAAACAAAATCCATTGACGAGTGTATTTCATGTGTTCTTGTATGCCAATCTGTTATGTATACATAATTTTACTCTTCCATTTTTCCATATGCACTCATATGAAGGAATATCCTCCCATTTATCATGTGAAAGTTCTTTAATTTTCAACATGATTGATTCCTTGTCTTCTGCTCTGCAAGACACAAATATAAATTTATGTTGATGCCTGTGTCATTTATTGTAATAAAATTCATAAAAGTATGTGATAAACAATGTGGTGACAAGCCCTCTGTTTTAAGCTTTACTAAAGATGTCGACGATGCATCTCGAAAGTATATCACTTGTTTGATCTCTGAATTGCCTCAGGGCTTGACCCACAAGAAAATAGTGCTTCGATGCAAGGTAAATTGATTTTACATTTATCCATCAAATATTTGTGCTCTCATTCTCATAAAACATTGATTTTTATGCTGTCATTTGCGAACAGGTGGTTGCAGTCCTTGTTTTAGTTATAGAGAGAAAGACCCTAAATTTTATTGCAGAAACCAAAGTTAATGCTCAGGGGACTCTTTTGGACATTCCACTTGCTTGTTTTTTGTTGGGAATGTTATGTATAAATGTTACTCAAGAAAAGTCAGATATAATCACTTTCTTTGTCTTGCATGTGCATGCGTTAACTGACAATTGTTTTACTTGGTGTTTTATACATTATAAACATCCCTGGGGTTCTCCTTTCATTGACTATAATAGCAAGCTTTCTAAGCATATTTTTGGGGTTTGTCCTTTTTTCTTGTTTGGGGTTTTCTTGGGAAAAGAAGGGAAAGAATTAGGTGTAATATAATTAAAGCAAAAAAGAAGACAAGAAATGAGAAGACGTGAAACGGAAATGGGAGAGAAACGGAAATGAGAGAGGAGAGGAAGTGAAGCGGAAATGGAAGAAAATGAAATTCGTGAGAGATGGATGGGGGTGTAGCTGCCTAGCAAAAATAAATGAGTAAAACTAGGAAGGATAAAATTGAAATTAAAAGAATTTGGGGAGGTGGAGGAAGCATGGTGTGGTGGTGGAGGGAGCAACACCCTTGTATTATGGGTCTAATAATGTAGGATTTATTTTGGACCTTGTATTTTGGGCCAAGTAGAATAGGGTATTGACCACTCAACTCAACAAAGGGCCAATGCCCAATGTTGACCAAAGTTGGATGTGATTTTGGGCTTGTTGACCAAGGGGTCAAAGTTTCATCTAACTTGGTGGACAAGGAGGGGTGGGTTGTCCATGCCATGTGTCACCCTTCCTTTGGAGAGATTTTCCTCTTAGTTAATGACCAAATGTCACTCTAGGAATTAGGAGGATTCTCCGTAAGTAGTGGTCACATGTCCCTCTCTTATTGGAGAGGATTTTTGCCATTTGTTATTCTTCTAACACTACAAGAAAAATCACTATTACATACCGCCAAAATTCGTATATAACATCAAAAATTCGTATATAAAATGATTTTACATACGAATTATATACGAACAAAAATTCGTATATAAAAAAGGCGTAGCTAAGTTACATACGGATAAATTCGTATATAATTTACATACGGATATTATATACGGATAAATCCGTATATAATTTACATACGGATATTATATACGGATAAATCCGTATGTAATTTACATACGGATATTATATACGGATAAATCCATATGTAATTTACATACGGATATTATATACGGATAAATCCGTATGTAATTACATACAGTATGTACATATGTATCTATTGTTTGTAACATTTAATTAGATTGGTTTTTTCTAATAGTTATATAATTAATATTAAAATTTTTACACATTAAAACTTCTCATAAAATTTTAAATAATTACTACCAGATTATAAATGTTAAAAATTTATAATATATAATTGTGTTGAAAATCAAATAATTAAAACATGAAAATTTTATTTGAATACTCTATAAAGAGAGTTCAAAGAAATAAATACAACTACTTAATATTAATATCTCATAACACTCAAATTTAACTTTTACAATAATTTAAATCTAAAACAAACAGGTCCTTGTATAATATATCCAAAGCAATTGTTGATAGCTCTGCAAATGTTGCACATATAATTATTGGGTGGAAGACCTTTTCAAGTTTGATGGCAATCTCAAAACAAAGGGATAAGAAAAGGCATAATTATAGTTAGTTCTAATAAAATGCAAATACAATGTTGCATGACAATATAACATTTTTGGTCCATCTAAATGAGCCATCAAAGCAATCAGCCATAGAGGTTGCTAATGCTGTGAAGAATCAAGCCAAAGAACTTGAGTAAGCATTATCTTTCTATAATAGGTACATTATCTGAATATTCTTGCTTTGAGAAAACCTTAACCGTAACACCCTAAAGAAACATGAATATATTTTTGTCTGATGCACAAAGTAAATTTCAATTGAACACTTTAAAAAAGGACTTTAAATGATAGTAATTTGAATTGCAACATAACCAATAGTGTAAAGTATACAAAAAACTTAAACATGTTAAGGAAGATGAAATTTAAAACAAAAATTACAAGAAGAGGAAAGAACATACCAATCCATACTACAAAGCATGATATACACAGTTCCACAAGATCCTGCAAACCAACAATACAAAGCTAAATAAAAAACACTCAAGTTGATATAACATGCCAATGGACAATAACTACTTTTCACATCAAATTAAGGTGATGGGCATAATAAAGAAGCAAACAAATTTCAAAAGTAAAGAGTAATCACCCTTACTTTTATACTAATAATCACCCAATTTTGACCCAATCTCTTTTTTCTTTTCCTCTTTGCCAAATTACACTCCACATTAACTCTCAAACCAAACCAACAAAATGATTCAATCTCTTTTTTATTTTCCTCTCTGCCAATACAAACTTAATATAAATTATGCCAATGACATAATCATAACACCACCTGTAGTTCCAATTTTAAATTATATACGTCATGTAATGTAACTTAAAAAAAAATTACATAACCAAAAAACAGAACCAAGAATTACCACTTGACAACTTCCTCATATAAGCAACCTAAATATCGTAAATGAAAACATACAGTTTTAAATTTCTATTTTAATTAGATGATGAGAATATGCTTGTTCTCATTGATTTAGAAGTACATTCCACGCTGCAACTAGTTAACAGGATTCTTTCAACCATTCTAAATTACATTTTTTAATTATATTTTTCACTTTACACTCATACATCTCTGCATATTAATTTCTAAAGTAAATTTTAGTAGTCTTTTTAAGTTGTCAACTATTAAAAGAAGAAAATTACAAATGAATATTAATCCTCAAAAAGAAGAAAATTGAAGGAACTCAATTACCCAAGTTCTCAAGGAAACTCTGCAACTCCTTCAAACCTTAAGCAGAGAAGCTCTAGTGCACTCTAGACCAAGGGGCCACCAAGTTGCGAGGAGGTTGGTGCTGGAAGCAAATCACAACTGCACACAAATTGTCTCCACTCTTAAGCAGAGAAGCTCCAGTGTCAACAAAAAGCACACGCAAAACCCAAATCCAAATTCGCAAAAAAGCAGAGATTGAAGGAAAAAAGGAGAATGCTCACATCTTAGGCCGACTAGTGGAGATCTCGGCCAGAAGGTGTCGACCAATTTGTTGAGGTTGGAGTGCGCGTGAAGCTTAAGCGAGAGATGGGGCTCGTTGAGCATCGCCAGCATCCCACCTGCGAAACTCACCAAGGTTGTTTAGGGATTTAGGGAATGAGCAGATAAGGGAGTTTGAATGGAGAACTTATGGATTTAGGGATTTAGGGAAAAATGGGAATAAAGAAGTGTTAGATATATTAAACCTAGATGATGGGAACGGACGAGAAAGGAAGAAATAAGGGTTAGATACATGAAAACCTAGGTTAGAGACTACGGCAGTGAGCGATGTCGCCGACGATGACCTTGGCCAGCCGGGAGAGGTGCGACAATGATGAGGGACCTGGCGGCAATGGGGGTGGCACCGTAGTTAACTTGGGAAGGTGCGAAAAGGAGGTTGTTGTTGTTGTTTGCGTGAAGAAGGAGAAGAAACCCTACGAGGGTTTCTTGCTTTGTGAGAATTTGGAAGAAAGGTAGAATTTTGAGGAGGGAGAAAACGAAAATAAAGTTTTACTTTTATTTTATATTTTTTTAATAACTAATTATAAATATCCGTATCTAATTTGAGTAGGTAATAATTTTTGGATTTATATACAGATTTTAATTTCTTACATACCGATATTATCTTTGGATAAAATTCCCGCCCAAACGCATGAATATTATATACATATTTTATATACGGATATATCGGTAGATAAAATCTGTATATAATTCGTTTTTCAGGATCCGTATGTAAAATTCGTATATAATACTTATGTTACATACGGATTAAAATCCGTATATAAATATCGGTCAGTAATGGCTATTTTTCTTGTAGTGTAAAGAAGAGAATTTCTCCTTACTCTCCAAGCTAGCCAAGGTGGCTCTTTTAGGTTAAAGTTTCTACCTATTTTGAAACATCTTAGCTTATAAATAGATGTGTCTCTTCTTCATGTAATTAGCTTTGATTTAAAGACAATCATGCTATTATTTTTGTGTCATACTACTCTTATTAGGTCACTCTAGGCTAGAGCAACCCAAGTGGCCTCCTCTAGCTATTTTTCTCCAAGAGTTGACCCAACCTCTCTTAGAGCATCATTAAATACCACCTCTATCACCATAAAACAACTCATGACCAAGAGCCTTAGTCTCTTTTCCACCATATTTTTATAACCACCCCAACCTTCAATCTAGTTTTGGCTCAGCCTAGCCAGAGGATTGTCATCAGTTAGTATCAAGTGTTTAGGTTCTTCAAGAGCTAAGTATATTGGTCTCTATCTTAAAAGTACATAAGCTCGAATTCCTACAAGATGGCTCAATCGAGAAGGAGAAGAGTGTTGCGCTTAAAACCAAAGCTTTAAAAACAAATGAATCCTCCAATGAGTTCGATGGTGAACAAGACTCCATGGACGAAAACGAAGAAGGGAAGCTTTCATTCATATCAAGAAAGCTTCAGTCTATGTGAAGGAGAAAAAGAGCCACGATGTTCAAGGGCAGACAAATCAGGTTTAGCTCAAAGAACAAATCAAAAGACTGATGACTAGAGGACTCAATTGTCTGCTACGAGTGCTACAAACCTAGACACTTTAGATTTGAGTGTCCCGAGCTCAAAAGAAAGAAGAAAAAGTCACATAATCCCAGATACGAAAAGAAGAAATTACTGATGAGCACTTGGGAGGACTTGGACACGTCCGGTGAAGGTAAAGACGCAAAAGTATGCCTCGTGGTAGGAAATGCTAAGAGCACATCAGATGACCCTGATGACGAGATAGATTTTTCTGACTTACACTCAGTTATTTATGCCTATTATGAATTGATTTCATATTCATCTAAACTATCTAACACACATAGGTTTCTGCAAAAACAAAGTAAGAAACTTTTAATAGAAAATAATGATTTAAAAGAAAAAGTAACATCATCCAAAAATGATGTGGAGTTGCTATAACAAAATGTTAGTAATCTTAAGGAAGAGTTGACCACCTCTAATAAAGAAAAGGAGAAAACCCTTTTACAAAATAAAATAGTTGTAGAAGATATAGCTATAACATCTTCTTTTCTTATTTCCTCTTATCAAGCATCTCAAATACTTCTTCACCCGTTTTCACACATTTTAAGCCATAAATGGACTTCACAAACATTGTCCATTTAAGAGAGTTCACCAAAAAATTAATTAAACATCTTTGCTTCCAATCAATCCATGAATCTAACATGATAGAGCAACCATGTTTGGTCTATTGCACTTTGTGATCTTTAAGCAACCCTTTAATGTAGTCCATCTCTTTGTTAAGAAGTGAAACTTTAGTTTAATGGTACATAGGAATTGGTTAATGTGGACCGTAAGCTGCAATAGCATCAATCATGTTTTGAAAGCTCTTCAATTTAACAAGATTGAATGGCAATCCTACTTGGTACTAGAAATGAATGATATATTCATGAACTAAAACCTTCGAATTTGTGTCACATGCCCTTTTGATATTAATTTTTCTTTGTTTTTACGTTTTTCTCTTTTCTAAAGTAAGAGAAAGATTCTTGCAAAATATATTTATTGATCTCTTTTTTCCATCATTCTCCCTTTTGGGACTACTATTGGTTGAAAATTCAACTTCATCTTCATCTTATTAATATCACCAAAGCTCCGTACATTATCAACATAATTTATTAAAGCAACTACCTTCTCCTTAAACATTTTCGAAATTTCTTCTTAAACATTTTGGAAATTTCTTCTTAACATTTTTTGGAGCTTTGGAACAAGGTGCAACATTACTCCTTTACTATTAGATGTTCTTTGGCCCTCCTAATATAATTGTCCATATTAATTACAAAATGTTTGTAGTGTTTAAATTTGATTCATTCAAAGGATGACAATATTTTCATCATAGATCACTTGTGTCAGATGATCGTTAATTGATTTGTTCAGTTGTTTCCATTGTTAATAAACGCAAGCAGTTATTGCAAAGAAAGAAAAGAATGAAAGAATAGAAAATAATAATAAAAATTATAAACAAAAAAAGAAATTAAAAAGAAATATAACAAATAAAAAAGAAATAGAACAACAAAAGAGAAATATAACAAAAAAAGAAAAAAGAACAAAAGAAATAGAAAAGAATAAAGAAAAATACAACAAAAAAATATAAACAAATAAAAAATGTAAAGAGAAATAAAAAAGAAAAAAAATCATTTTTTTAAATAACTAATAAAAATTAGAAAAATATAACAAAAAATAAAAATGAATAGAAAACAAAGAAAAAAAATTAAGAACAAGAATAATAAAGTAGAAGAAAATAGGAAAAAAGAAAAGGAAAAGGCATAAAAAGAAATTGAAGTGAAGAAGCAACACTTAGATTATCTTATCCAAGACTATTTAGGTATTATATATTATACTATACAATATTAAGATCATCTCGACCAAGATCACACAAGTTTTGTAACAAGTTCACCACGGTCACCATTTTAGTAGATATGAATGGATGCTGGTTCAACCTTGTTAAAATTAGGTCAACCTTGACAAACATGATTATGAGCCCATTCGCCGTTACAATAAGACACTTATTAGGATTTATTAGAGGATAAAAACCTTCATAAAATAGTATAACAAAATTAATAAATGACAGGTATATAAAAACAATTAATTCTCGTGTAAAAGGTATTCAAATCTATTCTTACTAAACTAGACTACCTAGACCATATTAACTTACTTAAATATTGGAACAAAGACATTTTGATGATTGCACAAAGACTTGTCGAACAACAATGAAGACATAGACATACTAGATCTGACATGACAATTTGATTTCATACAAGAATAGTCGGAAATAAGGAAATAAAAAACAACGAACAATGATAACAATGACAATAACAAACAAGTACAAAGTTGTAAACTCATTTAGAAAAAAAAAAAATAGTTTTTCCTTAGTTTAAAATTAAATCAAATAGACCTAGGACTTAATTCCTACATCTCCATAATTTCTTCCTACACCTCCAAACACTTAAAAATTATACTTTTACTCTTTTTTCAATTGAGTGTCAAAAACACAGTTTGAAGACATTATGTAATGCATAATTTCGGAAAACATTTCAAATTGCATATTCCATAATGCAAAATAGAAAATGCATTATGAATTACACAATCCAGAATAAAAAATGCATTATACAATCCAGAATGGCTTTTTGAGAAAGAAGGTGAAGAGTGAGGGCAGAGACCAGTGGAGAAAGAAGGTGATAAGCGGGAGGTACCAATGCAGGTGGAGGAAGAAGAGCGTGTCGATGGAAGTAGAGGAAGAAGGAACGTTGATGGAAGTGGAAATGATGAAAGTGGAGATGGAAAAAGAAGGAACGCCGATAAAGATGGGAGAAGGGACACCAATGAAGGTAGATGAAGAAGATGTGAAGGTGGAGGAAGAAGGGAGAGAGGGGTGTGATTGGCGGGAGGAAGAAGATGGAAAAAGATAAGCACAAAAATATCTTTTTACTTGACCTAGAAAATGCAGGGAGAAATGTATGAAGATGAAAGAAGTTGCTCAGTTCTACCTGTGAAGCGCAACTTTTGTAAAAGCCATTCAATGATGATCACTATGGATCGCCACACAAAAACCGAGTCACCACCATCTTGCGGGCAGTTGCCGGCAAATCCGACACCAATTTCCATCGCCATGGCCGATAATAGATAACACATTGATGACACTGCTTTTCTCGTGGTCAAACTTGTACTCATCCACTAGTTTTAATCGCAATCTAGATTCAAGACCATCTTGCTACTGCAATCATGTTCCCAATCGCCATTTTTCTTCGGTTCTCTACGCTCAACATTTGTGGATTTGATTTCATAGTTGAACGAATACTTCGGCTTCAGGTTTCGTACACTTTCTTCTGTTTAAAGATCTTTGCTCTATTCCCATTCTAGTTCTAGCCAAATTTAAAACTTCAACACCGCAAAAATTCTTGACACTGATGGTATATTGGTACCAAACACAATATCCATGCCCATTCGAAATTTAAGCAACAGTAAATGGAGCATTCACACCGTTTTTTGTGCTGAAGAACCTGGTGTAAGCGATCCCTTTGTCTCCACCCAACTTGGGGGTGTTTAGTCTTTTCCTGGTCATCTTCTACAATGGCCAATGTTAGTCTAACATCATACGGAATAGAAGACCGAACTTCCCTCAAAAGAATTCCACCGCTTTAATTGAGTGGAAAGGTATTACCATTTTTTTCCAGTCCAGGGCTGCATATATACACAAATGTTATGGAACAACAATTTTTAAATTTATTGTCTTTCATTTCAAATCATGG